TCAAAATGTCCATTCTCCCAAAAGCAATTTATAGATTCAATGCAATTCCAATCAGGATACCAAAGATATTCTTCTCAGATCTAGAAAAAATGATGCCAAAATTCATATGGAGACACAGGAGACCTCGAATAGCTAAAGCAATCTTGTACAACAAAAACAAAGCCGGAGGCATCACAATACCTGATTTCAGGACATACTACAGGGCAGTTGTAATCAAAACAGCTTGGTACTGGTACAGAAACAGATGGATAGACCAATGGGACAGAATAGAAACACCAGAAATCAACCCAAACATCTACAGCCAACTCATATTTGATCAAGGATCTAAAACCAATTCCTGGAGCAAGGACAGTCTATTCAATAAATGGTGCTGGGAAAACTGGATTTCCATGTGCAGAAGCATGAAGCAAGACCCCTACCTTACACCTTACACAAAACTCCACTCAACGTGGATTAAAGACCTAAATCTATGACCTGACACCATCACATTATTAGAGAGCATTGGAGAAACCCTTCAAGATATTGTCACAGGCAAAGAGTTTCTGGAAAAGACCCGGGAGGCACAGGCAGTCAAAGCCAAAATCAACTATTGGGATTGCACCAAATTGAGAAGTTTCTGTACTGCAAAAGAAACAGTCAGGAGAGTGAAGAGACAACTGACAGAATGGGAAAAAATATTTGCAAACTATGCAACAGATAAAGGGTTAATAACCAGAATCTACAAAGAGATCAAGAAACTCCACAAAAACAAAACAAACAACCCACTTAAGAGATGGGCCAAGGACCTCAATAGACATTTTTCAAAAGAGGAAATCCAAATGGCCAACAGGCACATGAAAAAATGTTCAAGGTCACTAGCAATCAGGGAAATGCAAATCAAAAGCACAATGAGGTTTCACCTCACCCCGGTTAGAATGGCTCACATACAGAAATCTACCAACAACAGATGCTGGCGAGGATGTGGGGAACAAGGGACACTAACCCACTGTTGGTGGGAATGCAAACTGGTCAAGCCACTATGGAAGTCAGTCTGGAGATTCCTCAGAAACCTGAAGATAACCCTACCGTTCAACCTAGCCATCCCACTCCTTGGAATTTACCCAGAGGGATTTAAATTGGCAAACAAAAAAGCGGTCTGCACCCTAATGTTTACTGCAGCTCAATTCACAATAGCTAAGACCTGGAACCAACCTAAATGCCCATCAACGGTAGGCTGGATAAAGAAATTATTGGATATGTACTCTTTAGAATACTATGCCACAGTAAAAAACAGTGAAATCCGGTCATTTGCAACAAAATGGAGGAATCTAGAACACATCATGCTGAGTGAAATAAGCCAGTGCCAAAGGGACAAATATCATATGTTCTCCCTGATCGGTGACAACTGACTGAACACCAAAAAGGAAACCTGTTGAAGTGAAATGGACACTATGAGAAATGGTGACTTGTTCAGCATAGCCCTGACTGTTAATGAACAATTTAATACATTATCCCTCTTAGTATTTTTTTTTGTCTGTTCTACTTAATACTATTGGGTTAATTCTGTAATTAATACACAGTTATTCTTAAGTGTTGACATTTAACTGAAATGTGATCCCTGTTAAATATAAGAGTGGGAATAAGAGAGGGAAGAGATGTACAATTTGGGACATGCTCAAGCTGACTTGCCCCAAATGGTAGAGTTAGAAACATACCAGGGGATTCCAATTCAATCCCATCAAGGTGGCATGTACCAATGCCATCTCACTAGTCCAAGTGATCAATTTCTGTTCACAATTGATCATAATGAAAGAACTAAGAGTCAAAGGGAGCACATAAACAAGTCTAGTGCCTGCTAATACTAACCGATAGAATAAATAAAGGGGAGAGTGACCCAACATGGGAAGCGAGATACACAGCAGACTCATAGAATGGCAGATGTCCTAAACAGCACTCTGGCCTCAGAATCAGCCCTAAAGGCATTCGGATCTGGCTGAAAAGCCCACGAGAGTAATTCAGGCATGGAAAGCCAAGACACTCTGGGGGAAAAAAAAAAAAAAAGACCTAAATGAAAGATCTCTGTGAATAAGATCCCAGTGGAAAGAACAGGTCTTCAAAGAAGGCGGTACCTTTCTCTGAAGGGAGGAGAGAACTTCCTCTTTGACTATGACCTTGTCTAAGTAAGGTAAGAGTCAGTGAACTCAAAAGGCTTCCATAGCCTTGGAAACTCATGACTGGAGCATAGGGAGATTACTGATGCCATAGACAGGAGTGTCAATTTGTAAAGTCAACAACAGGAGTCACTGTGCATTTACTCCTCATGTAGGATCTCTGTCCTTAATGTGCTGTACATTGAGATTTAATGCTATAACGAGTACTCAAACAGTATATTTCACTTTGTGTTTCTATGTGGGTGCAAACTGTTGAAATCTTTACTTAATGTATACTAAACTGATCTTCTGTATATAAAGAAAATTGAAAATGAATCTTGATAAGAATGGAAGGAGAGAGAGAGTGGGAAAGGGGAGGGTTGCGGGTGGGAGGGAAGTCATTGGGGGGGGGGGCAGTGTAATCCATAAGCTGTACTTTGGAAATCTATATTCATTACATAAAAGTTAAAAAAAAAAAGTAATAACTTGGGGGCCAGCACTGTGGTATAGCAGGTTAAACCACCATCTGTAGTGCTGGCATCCCATACAGGTGCAGTTCGAGTCCTGGCTGCTCCATTCCAATCCAGCTCCCTACTAACATGCATGGGAAAGTAGCAGAAAACAGCCCAGTGCTTGGGCCCCTGCACCCATGTGGGAGATGAAGCTCCTGGCTTTGGTTTGGCTCAGCTCTGGGTGCTGCAGCCATTTGGGGAGGGAATAAGTAGATGGAAGATTTCTACCTATGTCTCCCTCTAATCATGACTTTTACAGAAGTCCTTAATAATTTAAGTGTAATTATGAACTGGCATCACTTAAGCCATTTTTCCTCCAACATGATGGTCTATTTGTAGTAGACTTGCCTAATAATACAATTAATACAATAACAGCAATTTCACAAGACCTTAAAAAAGACGAAAATGAAACTGCCCTGGGGCTGAGCTGAAGCGTTCTCCCTCAACCCTTTACCAGCTCAGAAACTGGGTATGCTCCAGTCCCTACCCCCCCAAAATCATGTGTTCTACTCATCAGGTAATGAGAACAGAATTTCTCTTTCCTTGTTTCTCTTCCATTTCTTTACAATTGAAGATAGATTTAAAAACTACTGGACTTTGACAATGTACTTTCCAGTAATCATTTCCTAACTTTTTAAGCAAAATCTAGGTGCCAGGATATCATGGCCTCAGTTCATTCACTCAACAAAACAGACACCAAATGCCTGTTATGTGCCAGATACTGGCTGCAAAGGACAGTCTCTCATGGAGCCAGAAGTCTAACAGGGCAACATGGTCCGCTCTCAAGTAAACAGATCCTACCTGGATGCAGTAGGGGCTGAGAAGGACCTTTAAGTCCATGTCTGACCCCTCCTTACCTGCCATCCTCTCCACTGACAAAGCCTAGAACAACTGACAGGCCCTCAACTTGGGGTTCCTCATAAGGAAGGTTCTGAGCTGCTCTGAGCCAGTGACCCAGGGGTCAGTGCAGATCAGTGTGCAACTGGGACATCCAATCCAAAGGAGACAGTGGAAAGCCAGAGAAAGGTAAAATTTTAACACTAATTCAAGGGGAAATAAGCAGATCAAGTTCTCTCTACAATTCTGTGCCAAAGAAACCCTTACAACAGTTTTCAAAAGACAAGTTACTGAATCTATTCATCGGAAAATCAGAAAAGAAATTAAGCCAATCTCATGGACAGAATTTTCAAACATGGGAAGAATTTAATAAACCAATATCACTGAGAATACTACAGTATAAAGATAGATTGAGGTAGGCATCTGCACAGTGATTAAGGCACTGCTTAGGATACCCATATTCCATATCAGAGTACCCGGTTTGATTCTTGGCTACTATACTTCTGATCCAGCTTTCTGCTATTGTGCACCCTGGGACCAGCAGGTGATGGCTGAATTACCGTGGGTCCCTGCTATCCACAAGGGAGACCCAGATGGAGTTCTGAGCTTGTGGCTTCAGCCTGACTCAACCCTGGCTACTGTACGCATTTGAGGCATAAACCAGCAGATGTAAGATCTCTGTCTCTCTCTCTACCTTTAAAATAAAATGAAAATAAAGAAAAGTAAATTCTAAAAAATGGACTAAATGTTATCCCTGAAACTTATAATTATGACTTAGAACAAAACTACACTTAAGAAAACTAAACATTTCATTAGCCAATATATTATTTCATGGCATCTCCTCCAACAATATATAATGCTGATTTCTCCATTTCACCAAAGATCTCATTGGAATAGTTTGTGTTCACTTAAAATTATGAAGCCTAAAAATGAGCCACGAGCATTTGACAATGTACTGAGTCAAGACAGAACCAGCATGCTAAGGCCTTCAGGGGCAAGAGCGTCACACTGCTCAGAGACAGGGAGCCCCATGTTCCACACCTTCTTCCTCAGTAGAGTAAGAGACTCCTTGATTCTGTCAACCAGGTCTTCACTCTTCCCATCAAATTTCAGTCCAAGTTTCCATTGTTTGATCCAGTTGTATCTGTTTATAAGTTTTTCTGGTAACTAGAATATCAAAACACAGATAAAGAGCCGTTAACATTTTAAGAAATCCATCACACAATCCAAGCTGTAAAAAACCATGAAGCAGATAAAGCCTAATTCCATTCCTAGAATTAATCCCTGCAGATCGGGCATATGGGTTTAGGGTGGAGGATCTAAATCTATCAACCTAGATCCACAAGGCACTACTCTGCAGAGGGATGCTGGAGTGAAACAGGGCCTTTGGTTTAAATACAATAGCATAGTCTATCCTACAGAACACCAACCACAGCTAATCACAGCCAAGGATGTCCTACACAGCTTTAATAGGATAAGGCAGGGGACCTACTGCAACTTCTCACAAACCACCTGCAGGCTACTGGGCTCACTGGCCACCTCCTAACCCCTCCCTGGTGCACTTCTGGGCATGGAAGACAATCCTAAGTGAGGTTAAAACATCAGTCTACCAAAAAGAGGTAGAAAATAATCTTTTTGTCAAATAATATTAACATATACTCTAATGTTTGGTATTCAAATATTATATTCAGTTTAGTTGCCTAATAAACACAGTAAATTTTTGTAATGCAGCTGAGAATAAGCTACAGAACTAAGGAAGCTATAACGACTTCTCCCGTAAAAGAAGTGATAGCTGAACTACTACGTTGCTTCTTTCCTTCCCCACACCCCTGGAAGATTGGTTATTTTGAGTCCCTCTAGTTATCAGTATTATCTGGAGTTTGAAAGGCAAGCTGAGACACAGTTGATGAATGGCAGCATGGGAAATTAGACTCTCCCAACAGTCCAGGGTGTGTCCAGAGAAAAATCATGTAATTAGGCTGGGTATAGGCATGTCACTTCACCACTATAAAATTAAGAAATGAAATTCACCTCCAAGTCAAAGGGTCATTAAAGAATAATTAAGTTCTGCAACAGTCTACGAGGAACTGCAATCTAACAGTTATAAATACAGTTTCTGATGAAGCCGTATGGAAGCTAAGGCTCAAAAGACCCTTTCACAATGGTAATTCTGGTTGCACCTCCACAATCTATAGCAATCACATGACATGTAGGTGGTTTCATATCTAGAAAAACAGAGCCAAAGTAGGAATGTAAATTATGCTTCCCTGTTACTACAGAGGCGGCAACCTACATCAGTAAGAGGGAGGCCGAGCCTCGTCTGGTTACAACAAATGACCTTCCACGGAGCAGCTGCAGCAGCTCAACTCACAGGCAGCTCTGCTGTCAAACTCTTACTGCAGTCTCTCAGACTGATCACCAGAACCTAACATGCCCCCGGGTGGCAACCAGTTGGAATTACAACTGGGCACAAAACCACAATGGAACAAAAAACACTGGTTATGCAGAAGTGGGCTTGGGGAGGAGGAACAGAAGACAGGCCAAGTGTCAAGTAGCACTGTACAGCATCTAAAACACAAGTACAGTCCTCAGCTGAACTATTTGATGCCTCCCGAAGGTCTGACTACAGAGGAAAACAGAATACAAGTCAGTTTCCTAGTCCTGTTCATATATGGGTCACACTGTTGCAAGAGTAATTATCCAGTTCGAGGCTGCATACTTCCAGCAGATGAGGAAATCTGGGAGAAATTCCTAAACATGAGGCATAAGAAGAACTATTATAAAATAGTGAAGTTAGAATCACTTCTCGGCCTTTTGGCTAAGACCAAGTGTAGAAAATAGTGAAGTTAGAATTATTCCCCCCAAAATGAACATTATTTTATATGCTTTCAAAGCATAACATAAAATGCATACATATAGTCATTCTTTTCTACTAAGTACAGAGATTGGACTTCTGTTAGAAAAAGGGAGATTTATGAAAGAAATAATGATTAGAAATATTTAATACAGTAAGTATTAGGTGTCATTTCCTTCATGACTGAACTAAAAAACACTGTTTCTCTAGCAACTGCCTGTAATAGCTGACATCACTACTGAGAAAACAACAAAAATGTGTCATGCCCAACTCATAAAAAAAAGAGTTTGATAGAGCACCTCTTATGCTAGCACACGCTGTCAGAGGTCCTAAACATTCAGAGATACCCCAAAGTTTGGCAAACTTAGAAACCAGTGGACCTCTGTTTCAAAAGACCCCCTCTTAGGCACTGGAGTACTGCTGGGGTGGGCACTTAGCCTCACCATTAAGATGTCCGTATGTCACTCTGGAATACCTGATTTCAATTTCAGGCTCCACTCTAATCTGCTAATGTAGATCCTGGAGGCAACAGTGAGGGCTCACAAAGTTGGGTTCCTGCCATCCATATGGGAGACCTGGATTGAGTTCCTGGCTCCTAGGTTCAGCCCAGCCCAGCCCAGCCCAACCCTAGCCACGTGGGTATCTGGGGAGTAAACCAAAGGGTAGAAGGACTCTGTCAGTTCTTTCTGCCTCAATACAGCTAAAAAAAATGAAGTAGGAAAATAGCCACACCAAGCCATTTCTAAAGGTTGCGTTTGGAGTCAAATGACCCAACTACAGTCAAACACAGAAACTAGAGTCTGTACAGAAACAGGAACAACAAACAGGAAACCCAAGCAGGATGACAGAAGACGAGGGGACAGCTGGACTGCCAGAAGCCACAGTAAAGACAAAGCTCAACTCACAGGCAGAGAACAGGGCAAGGCCAGAGAAGCTGAGCCAGCAGGCAGGAAGTCCAGGGTCTCTTCCACGGAGCCTAGGTTAAGGAGAAGGCTGCTCAGTCTAGCCCTCCTGCTTCCCTTCAGTATCCTCAAACCAGATGATGTTCTAGGAGAAAGAGAAGATGGCAAAATGCCACAGAGCAACTCTCCATCTGCAGATGGAAGCAGGTTCAACTAGAAGTTCCAGCCCTAACTTCTTGCACTGCACACTTGCTCACTGGAGGAACCCCTTATCAGAGGCGACTTTCCAAGATAATTGCCGGAGGAGGGTTCTGAGTAAGAGAGAAATGGAAAGGCTACCACAGAGACTCTGAGGGACAACTGGAAGGAAGTTAAAAAGCAGTCTGGTTAAGTGATGGAGTTGTGGTACAGTGGGTGTAGCTGCCATTTACCATGCCTGCATTCCATACTGGAGTGCCAGGTTGAGTCCCAGTTACTCTTCTGATCCAGCTTCCTGCTAATGCACCTGGGAAGGCAATGGAAGCTGATCCAAGTACCTGGGATCCTGCCAACCATGTGGGAGACCAGGGTGGAGTTCCTGGCTCCTGGCTTTGGCTTTGACCAGTCCTGGCTGTTGTGGTCATTTGGCGAGTGAACCAACAAATGGAAAATCTCCCCCCTTTCCCTTCCCCTCAGTCCCTCTCCCCTTCCCTTTCTAGCTCTTTAAAATAAAATAAAATAATTTTTTTTTTAAAAAGGCAGTCTGCTTAAGTATAATCAGACTAAGTTTGTAGACTCTTTCCGTCCTCTACTGGCTCCTCAACTACAAAGTGGATGGTCAGTCTGTCACCTGTCAAGACATGGAAGCCAAATAACATAACAGACTGTGTCAATCAAATGTTCACACTATGGTAAATTGCTGGGGCCTGGGACATCAAAACAAGGACAAGGCTTCTGGGATGAGAAGTTAACTCTTCAGCTGGTATGAAGCAGACCCACAGTATATAGGAAAGGTAAATACTAAACTCGCAGGCTGAACAGTGTTTTTCCCCCTTGACACAGGCCTCCTGGCATTCAATAACAGAAGATACATAGCGCTTTGACCAACTAACTACTCTGTGCTCCTCAGAGCAAAGCATGACGGCTGATATACTTAGAAAAAGGAAGAAATTAGAAAGACACTTGAGAATTTAAATACTATTTTCACATCCCTCAAATTAGGTCAGGAAAACCACCTTAAAGGCCCCTCACTCACACATGCAACACTTTCTAATACTGTTCAGAGACCAAACACAGCCTACTGTGTTCCTGACCTATTTTTAATGTGGCAAATGATGTGATCACACAGGGATGCAGAGCTTTACTTTCTTTAGGGTGTATTTTATATGCTTAACTCTCTAAGGCACTATTTGCACCAGTTTCTTGTAAAGAAAAAGTCAAATTCAGTGTTAATTAAGTCCAGAAATCTAATTAGCCCCATAAAGTTAAGGGCTCAAAAACAAAACAGCCTAAAATTCTTAAAGAGGATTTATGTCACCATCTATAAACTAGGCTATGGTTGTCAGTGCCATCATTGTTAGTTTTTCTAGCAGTGTCCATCCACGGGCATGCATTTGCCAACTAAGTAACAATTCTGAAATATTATTTATTTCTAATGTCATTTACAAAGGAAAAACAACCTAGTCTAGCAATTTCTTTTGCCTCTATATCAAAGAAATATGTTAATACTGAAAACTCCACCTGCGATTATATATATCTTTACTTAGAAGAAAATTTCATTCCCAAATACTGTGTTGACAGTTTATATAGATGCTGATTTTATACTGCTTTTATAAACTAGATACCTGCGGGACATCACAGACCTCCACCTGAGACTCCTGGTTTTGCCCTTTGGAGTTAGGTGATCCCTTGTGCACAAACAGACCTCTAACTAGCTGAGTAGGCAACAACTTCCCTCAAAGTCTCTCTATTCTAGGCAAATACCCCAGTGCCTTCAACTGCCCCCAAAAATATCACGCACATGCTCATCTGCTCCTGGGTACTGCTGACCAGCCCAGCTAAAGGTGGGCAGCCACAGCCTGATTCTTAAAATTTTCCTTTTAAACTGCACCAGGGCTTCACTAAAATTTCAGGTGGGCTCACAGTTGCTGCAATCAATTAAAACCCAGACTTCCTTCTCTTTTCATAAACTATTAGCTCTCCCACAGCTAGCACTTCTGAGTTTGTTTTGAGCAAAGGACTTCAAATTTTTTTTCTCCTTTTAAAAAAGATTTGAAAGGCAGCATTAGAGAGACAGAGACAGAGACAGAAAGCAATAGTTTCCATCTGCTGGTTCACTCCCCAAATAGCCACAATGAATAGTCAGGGCTGGGCCAGACCAAAGCCAGGAGCTTCATCCAGGTCTCCTAGGTGGGTGCAGGGGCCCAAGGGCTTGGGCCATCTTGCACTGCTTTCCCAGATGCCTTAGCAGGAAGCTGGATTAGAAGTGGAGCAGCCAGGACATGAACTGGTGCCCACATGGGACACCTGGGTCATGGGTAGCAGCTTAATCTGCCTTTCCACAACACCAACCCCAGGCCTTTCGATTTTCTTCCAACTGATGTCACACTGTCAGTTCTAACCAATCATTCCTGCCTACCCAAATCCTTCAGGACATTCTATCATCCAACCTACCATGGGACATAACTGTGTCAATACAACAACACATGACTTTCTGGTCTATCTTTCCCACGTGGTGTATATAAAAGAGTAAAGAAGGCAAGGCCAAGGACATAGCCCCTGACACTTGCCTCCTCAGGAAGACTCTCTCCCACATGCTATCAATCATCTCTCTTCCAGTTCAGTCGCCTACTAAACCAATCCTCACACTACTCCAGAGAGTACTAATTTTGCGAACTGCAGCTAAAACCAAAGGAATGTATATTCTAAAATTCTGGCCAATTTTCAAATAGTAAAACATACAGCCCACTTATTACAAGTATCAGAACTAAAATCAAGCTGTTCCTAAGTGCTTTCTACAAAAGCTCAACATCTAATAATCAGCTGAATTGTTCAAATAACCTTCATTGTTCTCTTGGAGAAATACCAGTTATTTCTGGTCATTTTACTATATGACATCATTCTACATGTACAAAATTGAAAAATCCCACACACTTGCCTCTTACTGCAGACCACACGCACAGGAAAGGGGGAGTATTCTCACAAACACGAGTTGAAACACTGTGGACTCAAACCTGCAGCGCAGCGTACCAGCATGAGCTCCGGGTCCTGCAGCCAGCGGGGCAGCTCTGCCAGCTGGCTCATCGCCTGGAACAGTGTGGCCCTCAGTGCACAGTAATTATCTCCGCGGACTCGCCGAATGGAGGTGAACTTCTGAGAAACCTCCTCGTAGCCCTGGGAGAAAGCACCAAAGAATTCAAAATGTTCATGACAGACCACAGACAGCAGGGACCATTCATTTCTATCGAAAAGAGTGGTCCCAAGTTGCTGGAAAGATGGGAAACAAGACGGACTGAGTCCCTAATAACCTAATAACCAAAAGGAGTTAAATTTAGTATTATAGAGTATGTGTACAGATGCATCTGACTAGACATACAAAATTTTACAATTTAACCTTTAAAGCCCTAGCCATCCCCAAAGCTGGGTCATCACAGATAACCAACTTTGAAGATTTTCATTTGTGTTTAAAATGACTCTAAATTTCTTAATAATCAGACAGGAAAAAAAGAGATGTATTAACTTTATATCATATTTAAAACTTTAAGAAATCCCATTTCCAAAGGTATATGCATATGTATAAAAGCCTATGTGCTAGGCCGGCGCCGCGGCTCACTAGGCTAATCCTCCGCCTTGCGGCGCCGGCACTCTGGGTTCTAGTCCCGGTTGCCCCTCTTCCAGGCCAGCTCTCTGCTCTGGCCCGGGAGTGCAGTGGAGGATGGCCCAAGTCCTTGGGCCCTGCACCCCATGGGAGACCAGGAGAAGCACCTGGCTCCTGGCTTTGGATCAGCGCGGTGCGCCGTCCACAGCGCACCGCCCGCAGCGGCCATTGGAGGGTGAACCAACGGCAAAAGGAAGACCTTTCTCTCTGTCTCCCTCTCACTGTCCACTCTGCCTGTTAAAAAAAAAAAAAAAAAAAAAAAAGCCTATGTGCTAAAAGATGTCTGGATAACTGTTAGATTTTTTTTTTTTTTTTTTTTTTTTTTTTTGAGGCAGAATGATGGAGAAAGACACACAGATATCCTTTACACTGGTTTACTTCCCAAATGCCCACAAACCGCCAGGGCAGGGCCTCAAACAGACTCAGGAGCACAATCCAAATCTCCTAGGAGGTTGGAAGGAATCCAATTATTTGATCACCACTGCCTCCCAGGGTCTGTGTTGTCAAGAAGCTGGAGCCCAGGCACTCTGATATGGGACACAAGCATCTTAACCCACTAGGCTAAACATCCACTCCTGTTAGACCTTTTGAAAAAGCAGATTGAAGTGTCAATCTTGCCATCTAGAAATAAAAATCAGGAAATGAAATTGTTCAGTGGCAGGCTTAGTCACTCAAAACAGCCAATCAAATGGACCTCTTTGAAGTACACCCCTAAAAGGACACCATTCAACCCTAGTGACTGTGGTCCACAGGCAAGTGTGATGCTGAGTTCTCCAGTCAATAAGACTGACTTCACAGACCCCAAGCCTGGCTTCAGTCAGCCTATCACATATCCCAAAATCCTATTTCTTCCCCTGCACAAAGAAGCATTTCATCATGGAGTGGGCACGACACAGACCACCTCATCCTGCGTGTCCAAGTATTAGGGTCTTCAAGTCACAGGGTAATGTCCTAAGTGAATATAACAGTACCTCTTTTCAACAGAAGTTTGAGAGCTGATTTTGTACAACTACTGCAACATGTAAAGGCTCACCCTGTGTCACACCTAATATACATATCTCTTCCTTTCAGTGGATCCCAATCATGCCAAGAATTCGTAACAGCAAATTCAACTGCAACTGTACCTTTGCAAATGCATCAATCACTCATGCTATTTCAGAGTTGAATCAACCCTTCTTAAATTAAATGTGAATTGATGCACACTTACTTCGAAAAGAATATTCAAAACAAAAACAGAAAATTGAGGCAAATAAGGACTACAACAGAACAAGATCACAGATGTAATCAAGTATCTGAGGTGCTCTATCTCCTGAGTGCAGATGAGATACTCCTCTAAATGCTATGCCTTTGATTACCTGATCACCAGTAACAGTGCAACTGCAGGATCAAATCCCTCCTTCTATGGAACTAACAAACCCATAGAGGAATAATTTTCACATGAGTTCCAAAATAAGGAATGTTTGGACAACTCATATTCAATCACAGGCTTTAAAATACCAATTATTAGAAGAGACTCCCTGAAGAGACTACAGTCAGAAAATTTTAAGTAATTGAAAAGAATTTCTGGGGAGGATGAGATAATACAATTCAGACATCTGACATTCTGGTTATCTGGTTGGATATAGGGCTGGAGGTTGGAAAGCCTACCAGTGGTAAATAGCATATTCAGCAGACAATCTCATATACACAAACGTTTTCAACCTCTGGCAGGAACTAAGGGCCAGGCATCTTGTAATTGCATTCTCTAACTCCTAAAGAGTCAATATACCAGACCTGCAAGGAAGAGAGCTGACACTTGTGCTCAGAGTTTTATAAGTAGCAGCGACATTTGACTAAGGTCAGCCCATGAGCAACAGAAGTGCATCGTGAAAGATGAGTAATATTTTTTATATTAAAAAAAAGTTCAATGGGCCAGTGCTATGGTGTAGGATAAGCCTCATGGCTACTCCACTTCCCATCCAGCTCCCTGCTAATGATCTGAGAAAGCAGTGGAGGACTGCCCAAGTGCTTGGTCCCCGACACCCACATGGGAGACCTGGAAGAAGCTCCTGGCTTTAAACAGGTGCAGCTCCAACCATTGTGGCCATCTGGGGAGTGAACCAGCGGGTGGGAGACCTCTCTCTCTCTCTCTCTGCTTCTGCCTCTCTAACTCCTTAAGTAAATAAATCTTACAAAAAAAAAAAAAAAAAAAAAAAGTAGCAATTCCACACGGTTCAACCTACTAATAAGGAATGCTGGATTCTTTGGGACAGCCCAGAGGGTCTGCTGCTGGACAGGTTGTGTAGTATGAGTAGGCCAAGGTCTCTGAGCTGAGCACTGAATGGGCCCAAACATCTGCAGTGAGCCCACATCATGGGAGGCCCCAATATTCCTGGCCTTCAAGACTACCTTAGGGTCACCCAGCCACACAATGGGACTGGGAGAGGGCAGATCTTGGCACACACCCGAAATGAAGGAATCCATACTACATCCCTGTGCATTCGGAGCGTAAGAGGGTCCCAAGCCCCCAGGACTGGAGGGCATGTAACCAAACCTGGGGTGGAATGGAGGACAGACATATGAAACTACCAGCCCCATCCCTGAGGTTTCTACAACACCAGGCCAAAAGTCACTTCTCAAGTGGCTTCAAAAGGACAACAAATGACCAGCTGAACAGCACAGTTATTTATGGGTTTCACAAAGAAAATATATTACCAAAGAACTGATGCTGGTTCTATATTAATATTGTGACTCCAAATAAGTACCTTATCTTTGGGGTCTGTTTCCTCATCTCTAAAATTAGAGCACCAATATTTACACAGTCTAATGGTGGTTGTCTTAAGCAATGTCTAAAAATACAAAGTGACATATTTCGAACTTATGACAAACTACTTGAAAGATCTGAAATACTTGTATGTGTGCTTCTGTGTTGTACCTTTTTCATACATGTTGCTTTCTGTGTATTTCCCCTCCATTCTTTTTTGCAGTAGTCCATGATATCCATTTCAGGAGCCACACTTAATCTGGGTTCTGTTGAGGAATCAAAAGAAAAGCAAACAGTCAACAAAGCATAATCAGAGTAACCATACTGTTTTAATCCCAGGTCATTCTTTACTCCTCACCTTGTCTCATTTCAAAAAATCTAGAATTCATTACTGCCTCCTGGGCCAGACCAGCACCTTACCCCTAGCTAGCCATGTGGGCACTCAACTGGTTCCCCTTGTCACTATATCCTCCATTGTACACATGGTAGTTAGCAAGGTGATCCATCAAAAAGTCAGATGACAGCCATCACTCACTCCTAGGTTCGGAGAGCTCCAGGGGCTTTCTGTTGCACTTGAGAGTTACATCCATGTTCTTACTATACACAAGGCGCCTCTAACTGGGCCTACTCTGCCTCTCTGGCCTTCACTGCCATCACTCCCTGCACTAACTCTACTCCAACTCCACCTACAGCCTTCCCTTAGTCCCCAAGTCACCCAACAGGTCTGATCCCTCCCTGCATGCAGGCCTTTGATCCAGTGCCACCCAACGCTCCTGTGTCATAGTAACACACACACACTTTTGCTCTCTTGTCCTCTTATAGTCTTTTGTTTATCTTGATGCTGACCAACACTTAACATACTTCTTTTTCCCCATCTCCCCACACACCTCCACACAGAAGTCTCGGGGGGGGAGGGGTGCTTTGGTTTCTTGGCTGTTGACCTCAGCACCTAGAACTGCACTCACACACACGTGTCTGTGAATATTTTTCTAATCCTATTGCAGATACAAAAGTCTGGGGCCAGGTCATGGGGCAGTGGATAAAGCCACCGCCTGTGATGCCAGCATCCTGTATATGCTCTAGCTTGTATCCCAGCTGCTCCACTTCTGATCCAGCTCTCTGCTAATGCATCTGAGAAAGCAGTGGAAGCTAGTCCAGGTCCTTGGGCCTCTACCACCCATATCGGAGACCCAGAAGGAGCTTCTGGCTCCTGGCTTTGGACCAGCCCAGCTCTGGCTGTTGAGGCTATTTGGGAATGAACTAGCAGATGGAAGACCTCTCTCTTTCATGTCTAACTCTGTCTTTCAAACAAATAAATCTTTAAAAATATGCAAAAGTCTGAACTATGAGAAAACATCTCTGTTGTCTTGTAGTTTTTTATATCCAGTATATAAAGAAATAAATCCTGCTACAACAAAAAACTACATTTGTCAGTATTTATATCCTGCCCTGATCCCAAAAGGCTCCAAGTTGTCAGTAATAACCAGAAACAGAGTTCTCAGATTAGTTGATCCATAGACCTCATTTGGCTCTATTAACATATCCCCAAGATTAAAAATACAACTATTATCAGACAAATGTTAGAATTTTTAAAACGACTTTCAGGTTTTCTTTGTGTAATGTATGAGGTCTGGTGTTTGACTTTGTGATATACACACATGCCTATGGTTGGATGTGTGTTTTAGGAAGACAATGAGGCACATTCTCATGTACATCTTGATTCGTTAAACTACTGAACAGCTAGGTGTCAGCAATGATTTTAAAATATGAATATAAAAGTATCTTACAATGCATTTTTTCCTGTGGAAGCTACACATAAAAATGTTTTACTCAATTCAACTAATATTTACTGAGTGTCTAGTATGTGTCAGGCATTGAGCTGGGTGCTAGGATATGGACGCAGAAAGATTGTGTCCTGAAAGAACTTTGAAAGCACTGACAGCCCTCACAGTCAGCCAAGAAGCCAGAGTAATCAGGGATAAGGATGGAAACCCCCCTTGCAATGTAAGCAAATCCAATTTTTTTAAGTCAAGTACAAGAACTGCTTATTTTTCAAAAAATCTCATCGTCCAAACACTGTGGCATAGTATGCTAAGCCTCCACCTGCAGCACCAGCATCCCATATGGGAGCCAGTTCTAGTCTCAGCTGCTCCTCTTCCAATCCAGCTCTCTGTTGATGGCCTGGGAAAGCAGTGGAAGATGGCCCAAGTGCTTGGGCTCCTGCACCTGTGTGGGAGACCTGGAAGAAGCTCCTGGCTCCTGGCTTCAGATCAGCTCATCTCCAGCCATTGCCACCATTTGGAGGGTGAACTAGCAGACAGAAGACCTTTTTGTCTGTCTCTCCTTCTCTGTAACTCTGCCTCTCAAATAAAATCTTTAAAAAAAATCTCATTGTCAATCTTTTTAGAAAGAAAATCAATCTTTTACATGAAAGGGAAAATAATGTGTATCCAGATAACAGACATTTAACTGGGCGCACGTCGGGATTAGTTTAAATGTGAAACAGACTCTGAGGTATGATATACACATACCAGTGGTGCTTAGCAAATCTGTACATAAAAACCCTTCCATTTTAAATTCAAGAAATATTTTTTCACTGCTTAGCGGAGGATCATGTTCCCATGTATCTGCCTTTCCACTCAGCGGCCAAGAGCAGAAAGAACTGCAAATGGACAGAGCCAGGATACATACTGGCCACATTTTCCCTCCAGGCAGTATCAGGGGCCTGAACAGAGAGCACATTTCCACTCAGGAAGGGCCTCTCAGGAACAGAAGACTCCATCCTGCTCTCTTTGCGGCAGTATTCCTGCACACACCAAGACAAGGCCTGGCCCTCTAGGTAGGGCAGAAGAGGCCCACCACCTCAGAATGAACTGGGGAGCACCTCACGTGGGCCAAGAGGCTGGGCCTGGGTCACAGCCAGATGCAGAGGCAGAGGCTACATGGGGCAGTGAGGGGTGGGAAGATGGGGTTCTTACACACCACCATCATACCTCCCAGTCTGCTAGGGTTCTTCAGGAGGAGGGCTTAAACAGCTGCTACACACCACACACAAGGACCAGACCAGGGGTTGACCTCAAGCAGCTTATCAACAGTTCCATTCATGGCAAACTATGTAAACAAAAGAACATCTTAAATGCCCCAAAATAAGAAAGTTGAAAGCCACAAGGTACACAGGAGCTGAAATGACCAAGAAGTGGTCCTTAACCACTACCAGGTGACAAAGACAAGAATCGGACCCTCAGAAGGTGGGAAACTGGAAATACCTCCAGAAAGCTGACTCTTGGACAGAGTATACACTAGGACAGGGAACTCGGTCGTCTTCTGTGATGGGCCAGATAGGCAATAACTTGGGCTTTTGAGCCATAAGGCTTTTGTGACAATGACTCAACTTTACCAGCCATGAAAGTTATCACAGACACTATGTAAATTAATACATTCCATTAAAAGTATACTGATAAAATCAGGTGGCAAGTCAAATAGGGCCTAGGACTGATAGCTGATTCCTAGAGGAGGCGCAGAATGTGAGAGCAAACACCAGCTGACTCCACACCTTCTCCTTAGGAAGACCCCAGGCGTCCTCTGAGGTTTTGTGGCAGCCTGGGACAGCGGGACCTGAACACACCAGGACCACTATACAGAACATCTGCATCACCACCACAGGGCAACAGGTCACCAATTCCTTGTGAGGAGACTCAGAAATGACCAAAATCCCCACTGCAAAACATCTACCCCTGATTACACACATGACAGTGCCATTGTTGATCATAAAATAAAGAGAAACCAGGACTCAAAGCCAACCTGTAGAACACACATAATGCAAGAGAGAAAATGACACTTGTGAATTATCTGTGGTGCATCCCCAAATCGGAGGGTCCTCACACAGCTCCTACATGAGGCCCACCAGGGAAGTAGGAACCCACTTCTCCACAGGCAGCCTGCCCGCCCCACCTCTATGGACCAGCAAAGGCGGCAGGAATAATGCCTCAGCCAGCAAAGGGCCCTGGTTATTGTGAGATGAGCAGACCTGACAGAGGAGAAGCCTGATTGGGAAATCACAGAAAACAAGAACAAGTGCCAGGCATCCAGCAATCATTCTTTCTTACTAGTCCATCAGATTCACCTGGCCATCTGCATGCAAAAGCATCTACAACCTCAATTTGAAGTGAAAAACACATTCCAAATCTGAATCCTTCCCTAAGATCACAGGAAAACCAAGAACTAAGAGAGGGTTATTTTAAGAGATTCAACAAAACAATCCTCACAGTTACAGAAATGGTGTGAATGTAAAGAATGTGAGAATACATGCATTAAAATTTATTAACTCCAGAAATAAAAACTTCTAAAAAAAATTATTAACTCCAGGACCCGCACTATGGCGTAGTGGGCAAAGTTGCCACCTGCAGTGCTGATATCCCACATGGGCCCTGGTTCGGGTGCTGTGGCTGCTCCACTTCCAATCCAGCTCTCTGCTATGGCCTGGGAAAGCAGTAGAAGATGGTCCAAGTCTTTGGGCCCCTGCACCCACATAGGAGACCCGGAAGAAACTTCTGACTCCTGGCTTCGGATCAGCCCAGCTCCTACCATTTGTGGACAAACCAGCAGATGGAAAACCCCTCTCTCTGTAACTTTGCTTCTCTGTAACTCTGCCTTTCAAATATATCTTTAAAAAATTTTATAGACCTCAGGAAACCATCTTCACTAAACATTTCATCAAAACAAAATAATCAACACAGATGAAACAAATACACATGAGAATATTCCCTAAGAAGTGTATGTTAGTGTTTTATGAACACAGACAACAATTTAACTGCATTTTCTACTATAAACAGTAAGAACTCTATAAATAAAACAATTCCAAACATACCTGATGCCCCTCTTTCATGTATAAGCAATGCTCTCTCCTTTTCTATTTCATCTGCAGCACGGTACATGTCCTCCTCGCTGAAATCACACCAAAGCAGACATTTTCAAACACTTGTTACACTGACAGTTTCTGTCGTATCACAATATACAGCTGCTTACAAAATGCATAAGACACTCAAAGTTTAACCCTTTTCACATCACATGATGACCACCTGATAAAATATGGGTCTTGTATCTTGGATGCCGTTTCTCTCTCACCACTTTCACTTCAGAATTTCTTGCTTTACATGAGACAATTTACATCACTTTGCTTCCCAACTGGCTCTGATGTCCCTTTAACTGTAACATCTATTAATGCCTCAGCCATCTACCAGCAACCTTAGCATGTCTTATCAGTGAAGCTTCCGAAACAACTGTCAAGGCTCAAGATCAGAGACAGTGCTAATAAAAATATTTATATAGGAAAGCAAGCCAATTGCCAACCTTTATGTCATAAAGCCAATCTAACAATAGCTACTCTATAAACAAGGATAGCAGAGCACTCACTCATCACTTACTGCAAGTCACCCAAGCTAAAAGCCTCCAGGCCCCGCCTACTTCTTGAACCCCACATTCCATCAGCCCTCCAGGGTCTGCTGTATATATACGCCCATGGAACCACATACTTTGTTACGACTACTATTGATTTGTTACTTTAGGAAGTGTAAGAGCTTCCTAAATAGTCACCAGTTTCTTTAGAGAACTATTAAGACCTTAATGAGTACTAGAAAAGGAAGAAAATCCCATTACGAATTAAATAATTTGAAGAACTGGACTCCTGGTTGAGGACGCTCTCTTTTCCCCTCAAGATTCACCCCATAATGACAACAAACAATAACAGAAACACTCAATCTTTGCTGTGAAAATTCAAAAAGAAAGCAGACAGAATGATGAATGCCACAACAGGAAGCCCAGGGCTAGAGAAGAGGCATCAGCACAAGGCAAGCCAGCAGAATCCCAGAAAGGCCCTGTGAATGGAAGCACCAAATTCTTCAGAGCATAGGTAGCACATCAAGTGAAAACAAGGGGACTGGCTCCTCCTATGGAGCACTCTGACCCCCAGTCCCCACACTGGACCTGGGGCTCCAAACACAACGAACAGCTCCTCCTGCAGGTGCCAAGCTAGAATAAGGAATTAGGTGAATGCCTGAGACACCCCTACCCCAATACCCTTGCCATCCTACCTCTTAGTAATGGCCTAGCAGCGCTCAAGGAAAGAGGAGGGGCTCAGAGACAGAGGCACACTGAAATGGGGAGTCTAACATGTACCCTCTGCAATCCTTCAATGGTTCCCAAAGCCAGGGGAACTCATGTCAAATCTGGATCTCACACACCACCCCAGCCTGGTCTCCATTATTCCCCTATGAGCTACACATGCTGGGTGCAAACACCTGATCAGCACAGCTCTGTGCTTTGCTTCACAAGTCCCTCTTCCGGAATGACTCAACTCCCAATCTGCCTCTTGCCTGAACACATCCCAAAGCAAGCTGAGGCGGGGGAGCCCTCTGCAGAGTTCTATGGTCACAGTGGGGACTCTGGAGTTAGGCAGTCAGCACTTAACCACACCTCACTTCAGCCTTTATGAGTTACACAACCATTACTAGGGAACTGTTTCTCTGTGTCTCAACTTAATAATCTATAAAAAGGACAGTAAATACTCATCTCAAAAGACTACCAGTGGAGGCCAGTGTTGTGTGTAGTAGGCTAAGCCTCCGCCTGTGGTACCGGCATCCCCTCTGGGTGCTGATTCACGTCCTGGCTGCTCACCTTCTGATGCAACTCTCTGCTGATGGCCTGGGAAAGCAGCATCAGATGGCCCAAGTGCTTGGGCCCCTACACCCACGTGGGAAACTCAGAAGCAGCTCCTGGCTTCAGATCAGTCCAGCTCCAGCTGTTGTGGCCATTTGGGGAGCGAACCCGTGGATGGAAGATCTTTCCCTCTGTCTCTCCCTCTCTGTAACTCTACCTACCAATGGAAACAGACTCATGTAAAATAATTAGTACTCAAAAACCAAGTTAACTACTCCTTATTACTTCTTATTCTGTGTATGGTGCTGAATATTATATCTGCCCGGTGACATCTCCTACTCTTTTTTCCCCTTCCCAAATATAAGAGAATACTTCAAAAAGTTCACACAAAATGGAATTAAAGGTAAGTTAGGGCATGTCATTGGCCCAGCAGTTAAGCGGCTGGTTAGAATGCCTGCATCCTAAATCAAAGTGCCTGGGTTCCAGCTCTGCTCCCACTCCAACTTCCTGATAATGCACATTCTGGGAGGCAGCAGATGATGCTTAAAGTGGCCGGGGCCCTGACATCCACGTGGGAGACCTGGATTCACTCCCAGGTCCAAGCTTCAGCCTGGCACAGCCTGCTGTAAGCATACCAGAGGACAGGAGTTTTATACTCTTTAAAGGCTAAGTTTAATTGGGGGAAAAAATATTTTGAATTCCATTCATACAAGGAGTCTTCAAAAAGTTTATGAAAATCATCACTGGGCCGGTGCTGTGGCATAGCAGGTAAAGCCACCACCTTCGGTACCAGCATCCCATGTGGGCACCGGTTCGAGTCCAAGCTGCTCCACTTCCAATCCAGCTCTCTGTTATGGCCTGGGAAAGCAGACTAAGATGGCCCAAGTGCTTGGGCCCCTGCACCTGTGTGGGAGACCCAGAGGAAGCTCCTGGCTCGAAGCAGTACAGCTCTGGCTGTTAAGGCCAATTGAGGAGTGACCCAGCAGATGAAAGGCCTCTCTCTCTGCCTCTCCTCCTGTGACTTTCAAATAAATAACTATTTGAAAAAAAAATTACAAATTTCAGAATGTTTTTGCACCAAAAAATTATCTTTGATTCTATTTTCCATAAACTTTTTGAAGTGTGTATGTTTGTGTACACACATATGAAAGAGACAGAGAATTTTAATGCTGTGGAGATGAGGGGACAAATGTTAGGGAAAAGGTACTTTCCTTGTACTCTGACTAGACGAAGATTTCAAGTAAAAGGTGTGACATCACCCATGAAGACTGTGCCAGAATTAAAAGCAAACAAACCTGATTCACTGAGACCATATATCAAAGACCTAAAATAAAGTGACCAAATATGTTCATTCTTCTAATAATCCTTTCTTGCATTATTAAGAGAAATTTTAATCCTCTGAAACATTTAAGCAAGTAACTTTCAAAATATCACAATCAGAAACCTTTGGACAAGTTACTTCCTCAGTTTTGGCTTCAGTTTTCTCATATTCAGAAAGAGAGCACAGGACAAGAACTCCATGATCTGCAGTTCCTCCTTCAGTTTTTTTTTGTGTGTGTGTTTTTGTTTGTTTGTTTTGACAAGCAGAGTGGATAGTGGGAGAGACAGAAAGGTCTTCCTTTACTGTTGATTCACCCTCCAATGGCCGCTGTGGCCAGTGCACCGTGCTGATCCGAAGCCAGGAGCTTCTCCTGGTCTCCCATGCGGGGGTGCAGGGCCCAAGGACTTGGGCCATCCTCCACTGCACTCCCAGGCCATAGCAGAGAGCTGGACTGGAAGAGGGGCAACCAGGACAGAATCCAGCGCCTAGAGTGGGACTAGAACCTGGTGTGCCAGCACCGGAGGCAGAGGATTAGCCTATTAAGCCACAGTGCCAGCCTCTTCAGTTTTTTATTTCTAACAGTACATACATATATTCGTCATTTGAAATTGTACTTTGGGGCAGGTGTCGGCCTCATGGTTAAGATGCTAGTTAAGGCATCCCTGTCCCACACATCAGAATACCTAGGGTCAACTCCCAGCTCTGGCTCTCAACTGCAGCTTCCTGGTGAGAAAGCAAAACCTCAGGACATCAGTGAGGGCTCCTACAACAGGGTTTCTGCCACCCACAAGGGAAACTGAGTCCCCAGGTCAACCAGTGGATGGAAGTCCATTCTCATTCATATTCATACTTTCCTTTGCTTCCTCCCACTCTTTCTCTCTCCCCACCTTTTTTTAATTACATTTCAAGCACATTCTGTGACTTTCCTGCATACACATTTGGCTCCACTTATGTTCTTTTCCTTTTTGATCTAAGAAATAAAGTGCAATCAACACAGTGCTCAGAGGAAATTCTCTGAATGAAGATCTGTACGGGCACAAATAAAAAATCCTAGAAGGTCAACAGGATGAGAACAAGAAGAAATAGAACGAACAGGAGAACTAAATGCCAAGGAAAAAGAGAAACAGAAAGATTATTCGAAATAAAAAGCAGTATGATTCAGGATACACCAAAGCAACGAAGTGGAAATTAATAAGCAGTCTAGAACCAAATTAACTGAGTCACAACTCGATTACACTAGAATTATTTTCTATCTCTCATGGCCACCAAGGACATACAAAAACTGTAAAACAGCTCCTAAATATGATACCAAAGCTGTGTCTCCCTAAAGAAAATTTTTACATTTAAGTAATGAAGCTCAATCAATACAGTCAGAAAGCAAGACATTTAACAGGCCTGAATGAAATCCTCATCCATCCAATATGACAGTACTTCAAAAAGTTAATGGAAAATGGAATTTAAAATATGTCTATTTTGATGCAAGTATTTTTGGAATCCATGATTTTTTTTTCTTTCCATAATCCATATTTTCCATGTTTCTTGAAAAACATTCTTCATCAAAAACTTTTTGGTACCAAGATGAACTCATACTTTTTTATTTTTTTAAAGATTTACTTATTTATTCGAGAGGCAGAGTTACAGAGAGGCAGAGGCAGAGATCCTCTGGTTCACTCCCCAAATGGCTGCAACGGCCAGAGCTGGGCCAATCTGAAGCCAGGAGTCAGGAGCTTCCTCTGGGTCCCCATGCAGGTGCAGGGATCCAAGCACTTGAGCCATCTTCTACTGCTTTCCCAGGCCATAACAGAGAGTTGGACTGGAAGAGGAGCAGCCAGGTCCTGAACTGGAGCCCATATGGAATGCTGGCACTGCAAGCTATGGTCTTACCTACTATGCCATGGCACTGGCCCCATTAACTCATACTTTTCTTTTTTAAAGATTTATTTATTTGAAAGTCAGAGTTACACAGGCAGAGGCAGAGGCAGAGAGAGGTCTTCTATCCGATGGTTCACTCTCCAATTGGCTGCAATGCCGGAACTGTGCCGATCCGAAGCCAGGAGCTTCTTCTGGGTCTCCCACTTGGGTGCAGGGGTGCAGGGGCCCAGGGGCCCGGGCCATTTTCTACTGCTTTCCCAGGCCATAGCAGAGAACTGGATTGGAAGTGAAGCAGCCAGGTCTTGTACTGGCACCCATATGGGATGCCGTAGCTTCAGGCCAGAGCGTTAACCCAATGTGCCACAGCACTAGCCCCAACTCATTTTTAAATTACATTTTTCACAAATTTTTCCAAGTGCCCTCCTACAAGTATAATCAACTACAGAAAGAGAAAAATAAAATTTAAAATACTTCACTCGATAAATTTGCTTTTAATTTTTAGTATTTAGCTGAAAACAGTGACATTATTATATGTAAACCCAGCAATCTGAAACAGGCAGAAAGTTGGTTTAAACTTTTTGTTATGGTAACAGAAGATAGTAAAACCACTGAAGGAAAAGGGATATAACAAGATAAAATCATCACTGTGCAACAGTTGCAGAAACCTGGCAATATTTATGCGTGTTCAGTCAGGGTGGGACAGTGTCCACAGATACCTACAGCGTCAGATGATCGCACAGCAAATTTTCTTGTTGAAAACAGCTAAAAAGTGGTGAAGAAAAGACAGAGTCTTGAACAACTCAATTACACTGTTAAAATTTTGAAAGCAAAATGCTAACAATTCCTAATTAGAAAATTCTTAGTTTAGCACCATGACATTATTTTCCAGTCTGTAGTTGCAAGTTCCCATTCAACAGTATTTATCCGGTTTCTCTTAAACAAGAGATGAAATATTGTATTCTTCATATTAAGGCAAAATACCCAACTGAGAAAGCTGTATGGCCCTGCATATTAAATCATAACCAACATTTACTCAAAGATCTGTACAGCACACATTTTTGAAAATTTTAAAAATGTTCCCTATATTCAAACAAAATTATACTATCCCTGAGGAAAAAAGTTGTAAGTTAAAAAGAGTTCAACGAAGTAAAAAGATTTTTCTGTTAAGCCAACTTCTGATTCAGATAAACCTGCAAGGGGTGGTGAAGGAATCAATTCTCAAATTCTCATATATATAGAAAACTAACAAGAAGTCATTTAACCACGTCCCATTTTGAAACTTTGCACCAGGTTCCCCCGAGTTGTGTACAAGAACTGAGTATAAGTTTATCCATCTCCCTGGACTTGGGCTCTGTAGTTCATGTTTAAGTTGGCCTGAAAGACTAACATCCCAGGCAGCATTAGTGAGACAGTGTCAACCAGCATGACACCAAGGTACCCTCCCTTACAGACACAGGAAGAGCAGGGACCACTCAACCTAGCTTTTCTCCACTGGTTAGTAGCTGCAGAGGTACGTGAACAACACATCAAATTTAGGAAAGTACCAGCACCCAGGCCAACATTCCAACTCCCTTCACCAACAGGACTCTCCTTGACTGGCCACTCCCTCTGATTTCCAAAGACATCTTGGGGACAATGCATGCAGTCACCCTCAACATTAAGCTCTGACCCTTAGACACCAACTCTGGACCCTGAAGCAGACTCTTATCAAAGTCAGGAATGAGATAGGAAGAAGTTGCTGTTATCCTATGGAGCACACCTATAAGATGATAGGGGCAGGGCAGAAAACATGTAACACAACAGTATGCCTAGTAACACCCAAAAACAATAGTTTAATACTTTTTTGTTGTTCCTGGCCCCTTTAAAAATAAAGCTTTCAGCAGAACCTTGGTGTAGAAACATAAATACACAAAAAGTTTGCTTTCAATTTCAGAGAGCTTTACAGATGTTATCTTCCCCAACACAGCCAGCCTGGGGATCCCAGATACAAACCCTGACCATTCTCAGGCAAACCAACAAGGGCCATAGGGTAGTCTCTCTTCTCAATTCCCTAAGCATTTCTGGCCTGGCCATGACCACATCCGAGGACAACCTTGGTCCTCAAAGAACACAGTATGGATTAGCTGAGCTGAAGACAAGGAGGAGACAAGAGCCTGGTGTTGGGGGTGGGGAAAGCAAGGGGCAGAACAAGAACTACTGACAGGAGCTACAAGAGAACTTCCAGAAAAGTCAGCTAATCGAGTCTGACAAGATTTCTTTGGGACCCAAAGTTATCTTCTGATTTATCCTTGACGTCTGTCCAGGAGATGCCAGCCAACCACAGCTCTCAAATGAGCTGATGGGGAAAAAAAAAAAAAGACCATAATGAGGTTTAGAAAGTGGCTTATCCGTGTGGTTTATATTTTTCCCCACTTCTTTCCCCTGTGAAATGGCAGAAAACTTGGTAGAATCAGAGCAATCGACTATTATGTAAGACACTCACACATTTCAAAGTCACATCCCAAATATGTAATTCAGCTGCGAAAGTTAAGCTATGATTTATATTCATAATTACTGACCACTGAATGTATTCAAAAGGAATCTGGGATACTGCAAAACATGTACAGCCTTCTTCTGTTTCCTGTTTCTAGGTGTAAACACTGAGTAGAAAGAAAAGCCTTGGCTCCAATGAATCCCCCCAAAAAAAATTTTTTAAGATTTGAGAGGGAGGGAGGGAGGGAGGGGGAAACGGGAGGGAAAGAGAGAGAGAAAAAGAAAGAAAGAGAAAGAGAGGTCTTCCATCTACTGGTTGACTCCCCAAATGGCCACAACATGAGCTGGGCTGATCTGAAGCCAAGAGCCTCCTCCGGGTCTCCCACGTAGTGCAGGGGCCATGTAAGAATTGACATGCATACATTAAATTTCACACTATATAGTGCTTATGTGATACACGCAGTACAGTTTCTCTAGCCCATGAGAAAACATCACAGAGCTAAGAAAAACAGCCTCAAGAACCAACCACTACTGATTCACAAAGACAAAAAAGGGCTAGAACACCCCAAACTTAAGCTACAATGTTCAAAGTTGACATCTGAGCATTAGTCTCACCTCTTTTATGTCTCCTAAAGGGGAGCAAGATAGAGGCAACAAAAGCAAGTAGAAAAAGAAATTAATCAATCAAAAACTCTAACATTCCAGGAAAAAGAAAAATAAACTGAAGGTCGGTGTCATCAGAAATCATGTCCTCTTGCCTTATTTCACTGAGGAAGCCAGGAAGAGGTAGGGAGGCTCCCACCCAGGCATTAGGGAACACTGGAATCTACTACCAGTGTCTTCCTGGCTAAGCAGCACACAACTCTGAAATTTCCCAATAGCCTCTAAATAACAGTGATTAGAAATTCACACTCACAAAAAAAGGCTGTAATTTCACATCATTCCTTTTCCTCACTCAGTTCTTTCCACTCCCCATTTCCAGAATGTTATTTAATGCAATACATTTTTATATCAAAACTCTTATTACTTAAGTTTTATTAGGACAACCAGTAGTAAAAATGTATCAAAGTAATAAACTATATACACAAAACTTTACTGGATAATCTCAAACTCATTTAAGAATGCTATTAATTTTAGAAATAATAGGAATTCTATTTCTACTTTTAGATTTTATAGGTGTAATTACTAAGAAATATTGTTCTCATAAATAGATGGAAATGGGGCTTTGTTAAAACAAATTCTCTGAACTTCTGAATTACATGCCCAAAGTATCATAGTAACTGCTCATTAAATGTTATTTTTAGGCAACAGCTAACAACTCCCAGGTTCTCCAAATGTGCTGAAAACAAAAATAAAAGAAACCACCTGAATTGCAGGGGGCTGATTATCTGGTTATTAGAGCTGATGACCTTCTGTTTTCAGGAAATGTAAGACAAGTGTCTCTTTTGCAATTCTTTCCTAATGTGCAAAATAACAAATCTGTACGACTGAGTAGAATTCCTTTCAGCTTTAGGTCTGTAATCCTACTGACAGTGGACAGAAGAGGCACCTGTGCAAAGAGCACTCTTCCCACCACGGTCCACTTTCCCAGGGGCTTGGACATTGGAGAACCACATACACCAGAACATCTGCCACAGAACCATGCATACTTTTAGGACTGATTTTGGAGTTTTCTCCAACCCTCAATGGGGCATGAAATTGCTCAGGCACAGGCAAAGGCACAGTAAACAGAAGGCAAGCCATCTAAGTGGGGACAGTTCCCCCCATCAGGCAGGAGGAAGGCAAAAGCAGAACCAGCCCTAAACACCAGTTCGAGTCCCAGTTGCTCCACTTCTGATCCAGCTCTCTGCTGTGGCCTGGGAAAGCAGAAGGAGATGGCCCAAGTCCTTGGGCTCCTGTACCTGCTTGGGAGATTCGGAAGAAGCTCCTGGCTCCTGACTTCGAATCAACCCAGCTCCAGCAGCTGCAGCCATTTGGGGAGTGAGCCAGAGGATGGAAGGATGGAAGACCCCCCCCCCTCCCCGCCTCTACCTCTAACTTTGCCTTTCAAATAAATCCTTAAAAAAAGAACCAGCCCTACTTAACTCTGTACAGAACTACAGAATCAGAGTTGTTCTCTAACATGGAGAGCAAACTGGAGAAGCCACAGGCCCCATCAGCTCACACATGGGCTTCTTCAAGGGGTTCAATTAAAAAAGTCAGGTGCTACTATTCAAAAATCAGGATATTAAGTACAGAAGATTCAGCAACTATACGTTGGCAAAGGGATCCTCACCCTAACACAGAAATACACAACCTCTTCTGATCCCCTTGGTCTATACCTGCCAAGCTAGGGGGAGGGGTCGGGACGCCAGGAATTCGAAACATCATGCTCTAAATCGTGCAGACTGTTCCGTGCCTGTCCCGGGTAAGTAACTACTGAAGTGAACAACCCCTTAAGTGCACCACCATCATCGCGCTGGGGGGGGGGGGGGCAGTAAATCAGAGTATGCAAGTGTGATCAAAACAAAGAAGCTGCCTAACTGCCTCCAAGCGCTCCTTTCGAGGAAAGCCAAAGTGGAGGGGGTGGAAGAAGTGCGTTAAAAGCGCACCTAAGCACGTCTTACAGTGCAACTCTCCAGACAACCAACATAAGCGTCAAACTGGCTGCGAACTGAATTCTGGCATTCCGAAGGCACCCAGGTTTCTCCCGGGTTCACCTGCGCGCCCGGTCCCGCGCAGACACCACCAACCTCCCCTGGTCGCCCCTGTTTGACCTAACTAGCTCAGGGGGAACGGGAAATGCGGCCGGGCCAGCTGAGGCTAAAGCGGAATGGGAGAGACTCCAAGTCGGCCCCGCGTCGCGCGGCTCGGGTCCCCGTGGCTGGGGCAGAGCCGACCTAACTTCCTCCCCGCCCCGGCCAGACCGGAGGCAACGCTGAGGGGGTCGGACCCAGAAGGAAATGCGCCCCGGGGGTGCTGCCCAAGCTTCTCCGGAGCTTTCCCGAACTTTGGAAACGCGAAGTCAAACGGGGTGGTAGGGGCGCCCTCGGGAACACGTCTGGACCCCGCACAGGGCAAAAGTCCTTGCCTGAGGAGCGAAGGGCTCCCGCGCCCGCCCCGCGTCCCGCGCACTCACTGCTCGGCCGGGCACCGCGTCGCGAGCCGCGGCTGCCCGCTGGCCGCCGGCTTCCCGCCCTCCCGCGCCGCGGCCCCCGCGTCCCTCGCCGGCGTCTCGGCGCAGCTAGCGCCCGGCCACGCTCCGGGCTGCGGCATGGTCTCCCGGTTCATGCGGCCTTCTAAGCCGAGAGGGTTCAGCCGGCTTGGCGCGACCCCAGAGCCCTTCAGTCTGGGCTCTCGGCCCCGGTAGCAGCCGCTCAGCAGCCCCGGCGGCCTCGAAGGGTCCGCTGGACGCTTCCGCGCCAGTCACTGCGGCCCGCCCCGCGGCCCTTGACCCGTAACGGAGGGGCGCGGCCGGAGGCGTGGCGGCCGGAGACGCGGCGCATGCGCAGGAGCGAGCGGAGGGGCCTGGGAGAGGCAGCGCGGTGCGACTCCTGCGCATGCTCTGTCGCCGCGCGGCGCAGGCGTGGAGGCATGGCGCTGGGCCCGCTCAAACGGCGGGGCGCGTGCAAGTGGCGAGTCCGAACGTCCCGCCCCGACTTTCCCAGCGTGAAAGTTGTGCCTCGCTCGTTCTCGAGCCGGCAGCCCGTGGCATCGGCTCCTGCGTCGGGCTTGGCGTCCTGACCCGGATGAGGGTGGGAAGGGCGGGCCGGTTCAGCTCCACAGCTGAGCGTCCTCTGCTCTCGGATGCGCTCTCCTCCTCTGGCAGTTTTGATTGAAGAGGACTAATGCGAAGGCGTCAGAGATCCGAAGGCGAAACAGTTCATCTCGGGAGGAAGCAGCCGAGTAGCCTTGAAGCGTGAGAAGCGGCTGGGTACGCAGGGTACTGTGCCAGCTAGGCGCCCCCGCCCGTAGTGGGCGTGAGGGGAATAGCCGACCCCCTGACGCTGCGTGGTGAGAGGCGGAACAGGGACACAGCAGAGGACTTGAGAGAGAGGAAAGGAAGGGGAGTGCTGGAGACCACCTCGGGGAAACCACGTTGAGCGAACTGAGCAGCGTGTGCTTGATCCTCACTGAGAAATTTTGAGGTCAAAGATTTATGTAACCGGCGCCGTGGCTCACTAGGCTAATCCTCCGCCTTGCCGCGCCGGCACACCGGGTTCTAGTCCCGGTCGGGGCGCCGGATTCTGTCCTGGTTGCCCCTCTTCCAGGCCAGCTCTCTGCTCTGGCCCGGGAGTGCAGTGGAGGATGGCCCAAGTCCTTGGGCCCTGCACCCCATGGGAGACCAGGAGAAGCACCTGGCTCCTGCCTTTAGATCAGCGCGGTGCGCCGGCCGCGGCGGCCATTGGAGGGTGAACCAACGGCAAAGGAAGACCTTTCTCTCTGTCTCTCTCTCTCACTGTCCACTCTGCCTGTCAAAAAAAAAAAAAAAAAGATTTATGTATTTGCACGGCAAAGAAAGATCTTCCATCTGCTGGTTCGCTCCCCAAATGCCCTCAACAGCCAGCCCTGGGCCAGCTTGAAGCCGGGAGCTAGGAGCCCCATCCTGGCCTCCCACATGAGTGGCAGGGGCTCAAGTATTTGGGCCATCATCAGCTGCCTTGTCAGGTGCATTAGCAGGAAGCTGGGAGGGAACTGGAGCAGCCGGGACTCATACTGATATAGGATGCCAGCGTGACGAGCCGTGGCTTACCCGGCTGTGCCACAACACATACCCCATGGAAATAATTTTGAAAGAGCTCTACAGTTAGAGAATGGGTGGGAGAAGGCAAGACTGGGAGACTAGATTGTAGGGGGCATCAAAGGGAGAAACTGGGTGGAAAAAACGTTTGCATTCAACGTTTGGAAAGAACTCTGGGCTTGTTTCTTCCTTTTATTTTACTTGAAAAAGTTCTAAATATACATGGTGAAAAATTCAGAGCATATGAAACAATTTCTGAATTTATGCACTTTAAAGATGTGGGATTCTAGTGGGTTGCATAGTGTCCCTAGCCCCACCCCCACCCCGCGTAAATTCATGTTCATCTGGAACCTCACAATATCATCTTAGAAATAGGGTCTTTGCAGATACAATTAACTAAGATGGCGGCTGGTGGTGTGGCACCACAGGTTAAGCCACAGCTTGCCAGTATCCCCTATCAAAGTGCTGGTTTGAATCCTGGCTGCTCTGCACTCCATCTAGCTTCCTACTAATGTGCCTGGGAAGGCAGCATCAGATCGTCCAAATACTTGGTCCCTGTCACCCACATGGGAGACCAGGAGGGAGTTTCTGGCTTCTGGGTTCAGCCTGGACCCAGCCTTGGCCCACTGAGGTCATCTGTGGAGTAAACTAGCAAATATGAGTTCTCTCCCTCTCACTGTTTCACTCTTTCAAATCAGTGAGTAAAATCTTAGTCTAATGACTGGTGTCCATGAGGACACACTGATTCTAGACACAACATAGGCCCTGTGGAGGCACAAGAAGAGATTGGAGCATTACAGCTAAAAGCATTGCAATGCCAGGAGCAACCAGAAGCCCAGAAGAGGCAAGGATTACTCCAAACTGTCTTCAGAAGAAAATGACTGCCAACAACCTGATTTCAGACTTCTAGCCTCCAAAATGTGGAAGAATACATTTATACTGTATTATTTTGTAATGGCAACCCCAGGAAACTAATATAAGGATCAAGATGAAAAGATCATAAAATCCTATCGTGCCATCACACAGATTCTGGATTCACCGTTTTATTTCAAAGCATTAAAGAAGGTTCTGACAGTATGTTTGGTGCTGACTTGTCTTTTCCCATTATGTGTGTCTAATGAAGAAAACCACTGGATAGGTGTGGGGATCCACTGGCCTACTGTGAGAAGGAGCTGAGTGAAAACTCCATTAATCACTAGACTTCCAGCCGTGCTCAAAGTGCTTCCATGAAATGAAGTGCCAGGGCTGCTTCTGTCTACTGGAAAGGAAGGTATCCAATGGCTTAGGGAGCTTGCAGTATTCGGGAAGATTTATCATATAACACCTGCTTGCCCAGCTGGTCTCCAGTATGGCAGTGGTAAGGTGGTGGAAGCTTTATGATGGTAGGTCACTGGGGGTGCTGACCTCAGAAGGGACTAATGCAGTTCTAGCAGGATGATGACTAGTTCCTATGAGTTTGTCCCAATGAGAGCAAGTTGTAAAAACAACAGGCTTGGCCCCTGAATCTGTCCTGTTTCCTGTTTGCATGTGATCTCTCCCTCCTGCCTCTGATCCTTCCATGATGCCATCTGCCATGCTGTGATGTAGCTAGAAGGCCCTTACCAAAGTCAAGTAGATGCTGATTCTGTGCTTTTGAATCTCCAAAACTATAGGTCATGTAAACCTCTTTTCTTTGTGAAGTACCCAGCCTCAAGAGTTTTGTTAAAACAGCAGCAGAAAATGGACTACTACACCTCTCATTGGAACCATTAGACCATGAACCCATCCTGTGGTTCCCTCCCCCTTTCCTGAATGCATAATTAAGAATACATATTTAACAAATGGCAAAACCTCCACACTGATTCCCTGACCTGAGTGAAGACTGGCATCATAGAAATGGCAAAACAGAAGCCTCTAAAACTGATTCTGCCTTTAAAATAATCAACAAAAAGCAGTACCACATTCATAGAGGGATTGCAGAGGTTAGTGCCACTGTCAAGGACTTGAAAGTTGAAGAGATGATGATATCCACCACAACTATCTGTTTATTTGAAAGAGTGACAGGAAGACAGAGAGCTTCCATCCGCTGGTTCACACTATAAATGGCCACAACAGCCAGGGGTGGTCCAGGCTAACTCCAGGAACCAGGAATTCCATCTGGGTCTCCCATGTTGCTGGCAGGGGTCCACATACTTGGGCCATCACTGCCTTCCCAGGCTGTATTAGCTGGATCAGAAGTGGAGCAGCCAGGATATGAACCAGCTACAGTGATATGGGATGCTGGTGTCACAAGTGGTGGCTTAACTTGCACCACAATGCCAGCTCCTCATCACATTCCTGTCTAACTCACTGAGTTGGGTACTGAACACAGGTGGGTCTTGGAGAATGGCAGTAGATTCTCATAAACCCAATTATGTGCTGACCTAGTTGACAGGGCCTCACTGTGGAAAAACAACACATCTCCTAGTGCTGCATATGGAGTTATTGCTCTAGCAAATACTTGGCCTCTCTACCTAAGGGGGAAAGGACCCACTAGAAGGAATTTACTCTCAACTGCCAAGACCAGCACTATACCTTCTTGTTCTGCTACAGGGATAATATCAACTCACCAGTCCCATGCTACAATCTGGCCTCATTTACCTTCTCCCTCCACAGAATTCCACATGGGTCCATTGATGAGAATGTGCTGATTAGTCTTTTTGAGCAGGACATAGCCATTATTCCAGATATATTGATGTTTGTGCGTCAGAGGATACGAAGTAAGTCTCACCAAACTTAAGGGGCCTTCTACCTCAATGAAATTTCTAAGTGTGCAGTAGTGTAGGATATATCAAGATATTAATTCTAAGGTGAATTGTTTCTGGCCCTTCCTACAACCAAAAATGAGGGCGGGGTTATGCCTAATAGAAGAGAAGGCTGTATAACAAGTCCAGACTATTGTACAAAGTACTCTGCCACTTGGGCCATGCAGTCTGACAGCCAACAGTGCTTGATGTGATAGTGGCAGATCTAGATGTTACTTATAATCTTTGGCAGGCACCTTCAAGTATAGGTGAATCACATACCAACCCTGAGGATTTTGGTGCAAAGCCCTGGAACAGCTCTTGGTTTGCTCCTGGGCCATGGTAGAGACTGAACATGTGATCATGGGCCACCGTGTTACCATGTGGCCTGAGCTCACTGATATGTCAGGTTATACAGTGTATCTTGGTATGCTGTGATAAACATGACACAGTACCTCTGTGGCTTCCCTCCCAGAAACCCAAGCACAGGGCCAACTAGAAAAAAAAAAAAATCAGGCAATTCCATCAAATGGAGCATCTTACAAAATACTTGACCAACACTCTTCACAGCTTTCCGGCTCGTCAAAAGCATACAAAGTCAGAAACCATCCCAGCCAAGAGGAACCTAAGGAGAGCTGAGGATGAAAGGTATGGTGGTCATCTGGACAGAATTCTGGAACAGAAAAGGACACGGGGTTAAACAAGGGAAATTTGAGCAATGTATGAATGCTGGTTCATCAGTTGTAACAAATGTGCTTTGCTAGCACACTGTGTTATTATGGGCACTCTGTACTATCCTCTCAATTTTCCTGTAAATCTAAAACTATTCCCCAAAAAAGTGTATTATACATTAAGAAATCAAAAATCTAACTCAGATCCCACTTTATAAAGTGTTAAACCAAGACTCTCCAAAGCAATGAAGAATGTCCAGTCATGTTGTTCTTATTTTGTACATCAATTTTAAAAATTGTATTTAAATATTAATGTTTTCATATTTTAATGTTTATTGTATGTTTCTTATATACATAACACATACATCCATACAGAAGTACATTGTGAGCTTTAAGACATGCTTGCTGGAGGTAAATTTGTTACTACTGACATTATAGAACTTATTAGAGAGCTGTGTTAAACCAGTAAGTCAAAACTAGAGTTTCTTAGAGGCAGTCATGAGAAGAAAGCTCATGAACTATGATATAATTAAAACAATTTACCTGTATTTTGCTAAGATGAATAACTAATGACATCTAAAAACTATAATCTTAGGGGGCAGGTATTTGGCCTGGTGGTTGACACCCTTTGGGATACTTGCATCCCATGTTGGACTGCCTTGGTTTGAGTCCCAGCCCTGTTCCTAATGTCAGCTTGCTGCTAATGCATACCCTGGGAGGCAGGAGGTGATGGCTCAAGTACTTGGGGTCTTGTCCAAGTCCACATGGAATACTGGATTAAGTTTCCAGCTCCAGGCTTCAGCTTGGCCCATCCCTGGCTATTGCAAGCATTTGGGGAGTGAACCAGCAGATGGAAGATTGCTCGCTCTCTCTCGCCCTCTCTGTCTCTCTCTCTCTCTCTGTCTCAGTTAAATGAATAAATATTTTTAAAAGTAACTATAAGCTTAGGTAAAATCCTACATAATAACATTGCTAAAAAATAATTCCAGTTTTCAATTTCCTCCTAGAATCAAATATTGGGTAACACTGAATAACTGATAGTGATATGATGGCATTATAATCTGGTAACTTATACTTTGAATCAAAACATCAATTTCAGTGATCTTGCCTAGAATAACTAATATGTAAAAGATTTCAAGTTCCTTTGTGTTGAACACTGCAACCCTCACTTGTAAAGACTGTTCGTGAATACTGCTGAGCTTGATCTTTTGGTGTTGTAATTCTCTTTAAGGAACTTAGAATAAGTCGGACACATTGCCCTCCCTTCCAAATACCATACACATATTTTATAGCTAAGTCAAACCACCCTATATTTTAATCCTATGGAATTCCCCAATGTCAGAGCAATAAAAAAATAGATTTCAAGTGTATTCTGTAGGTCAATTTCAAGCATTCACAGGAAAGGTACTTTTTCATTTATTAATTCTACTTTCATAAGTTCACGAAGTGTATCCAAGCTTGAAAGGAAGTGTTAGTTTCACTTAGAAAGTAACTACTCCAGGAATACCCAAGCATTAATTTGAAAGACTCCTTTTTTGCAATATGCCTTTTGATTATGGAATGCTCATTAATTAAAAAAAGAATGATGCTGGGGGTAGGAACTGACTGTGCCTTCAGTTCTGATACTGAAAGAAATAACTATAGAGAAAAAATAGGGGAAATATTTATAGCCCAATAGAAAAAATATCTTATAGTAGTGTTAGTTTATCTGGAAAGCCCCAAAACTTTCCCCAAGAGTTTTTATTGGGAGAAGTATGGGTCATAATGAAATTTATTTTATTATGAAAATGAAACCATTTTGTACATAAGGAGACGAGAGAGAATGATGCTGTTATAATTTACAGACTGAAAGTTCTGGAAAATATTAAGCCAGTTATTTGCCTCCAGCTAAACAGAATTTCATCCTAAAGACATTATCCAGGCAGATGGTAATCTTAATTTATTTGGAGAGCTTCTACACTGGAATTCCAAACCATTAGTTCCTTAGTGTCTGCAACAGACTGAGTGTGTCCTCCAACCCTCCAAATTCATATGTTGATTTCTTTTTTTATTTTATCTTTCTTTTATTTTTGACAGGCAGAGTGGACAGTGAGAGAGAGAGAGAGACAGAGAGAAAGGTCTTCCTTTTGCTGTTGGTTCACCCTCCAATGGCCGCTGTGGCCGGCGCGCTGCAGCCGGCGCACTGCGCTGATCTGAAGGCAGGAGCCAGGTGCTTCTCCTGGTCTCCCATGTGGGTGCAGGGCCCAAGGACTTGGGCCATCCTCCACTGCCCTCCCGAGCCACAGCAGAGAGCTGGCCTGGAAGAGGGGCAACCGGGACAGAATCCGGCGCCCCGACCGGGACTAGAACCCGGTGTGCCGGCGCGGCAAGGCGGAGGATTAGCCTAGTGAGCCACGGCGCCGGCTCATATGTTGATTTCTAATCCCAATAGGACTGTATCTGAAGATAGGGACTAGGAGGAAGTGACCAAGGTTAAACAAGGCCGTAGGGTATGGTCCTAATCCAATGAGAATGCCTGCACCAGAAATTGAGTCAACTGGCACCCTGATCTTACATTATCAAGAGGGAAAATAAATAACTCCTGTTTAAGCACCTAGTCCTCAGTATATTGTTATGGCAGCCACAGTAGACTAAGACAGTATCATACAATACTTCCCTACCTTTACCTTTTTTTTTTTTTTACAGGCAGAGTGGACAGTGAGAGAGAGAGACAGAGAGAAAGGTCTTTTTCCATTGGTTCACCCTCCAGCCAGCGCACTGCACTGATCCAAAGCCAGGAGCCAGGTGCCCCTCCTGGTCTCCCATGCAGGTGCAGGGCCCAAGGACCTGGGCCATCCTCCACTGCACTCCCGGGCCACAGCAGAGAGCTGGACTGGAAGAGGGGCAACTGGGACAGAATCCGGCACCCCGACCGGGACTAGAACCCGGGGTGCTGGTGCTGCAGGCAGAGGATTAGCCTGTTGAGCCCAGGCGCCGGCCAACCCTTACCAATGTTATTTTCATCTTTTGCTTTTTCTTTTTCTTATATCCGACAGGCAGAGTCTTTAATAAATATAATTTAGAGAAAGGTATTCATGTGCGTTAGATCAACCTTAAAAAGGATAAAAAAGAACGATGCGATAGGGGTGTTCAGATGAAAAGAAGACAAGAATCAAAAGGCTTTTCATAGTCTTCCCAAGAGGACAGAGCCAAAAGCACTATGGGTGATAAAACATAGTGTGGGGGGACACAACAGAGAGCTGGCTGGAAGAGGGGCAACCAGGACAGAATCCGGCGCCCCGACCAGGACTAGAACCCAGTGTGCCGGCGCCGCTAGGCAGAGGATTAGCCTAGTGAGCCGCGGCGCCGGCCCAACCCTTACCTTTTAATACAAATACATGAGTTCCTCGAAAGGAAGTCCACCATTTCTACAATTTTTTAAAAAGCTAATAAAGCAAACTGTAGATGTTTCCTAAGAAAGTTAAGGGTAAGGAAGAGATCCTTTATCACTTGTGGAAACCTTCACCACCTCAAGTAGTCTGATGTTACAATGATACCTCTCATATAATCCAGTCTCATCTCCATTAGAGTCGGAAGGAAGAGCATCACCCTACGACGATTACCAAGAACTCTCCACCATAGGAGGATATGAATAGGCCTGCTCCCCCTTCCAACTACTTCCTTCCTGTTTACCATATTCCCACTTTACAAGAAAAGCTTTACCTCTCAAGTACCCAGTGTGGGCCTCTAGAGCTGCACCATCCAACACAGTCACCACCAGAAATATGTGCCTATGGAACACTTAAAATGTAGCTGGGCAGAATTAAGATTTGCTGTTCGTGTAAAATACATGCAAGATATCAAGGACTTAGTATAAAAAAAAGTATGTAAAATATCATGTTTGTAATTTCTTAAATTGATTACATGTTGAAAATTTTTTGAAATATTGTATTACATAGAATGTTAGTTTCATCTGTTGCTTTTTCCATTTCTTATATGGCTACTAGAACAGTTTAATTAGCTGTTATATGGCTCACATTGTATTTCTATGGTGGTGCAATTCTAGAGCTTGAAAAAAAAAGGGGACACCTTAGATTTTGCCTTCAGAGAAGCCTCTGATACAAAGCACCAAACACTTGCATGCTGCTTTCATGTCTCTCCTTTTCTTTCCTTAAGAGTGGGTATTTTGGTATTCAAGTAGAGTACTATGATCAACATGTCAATTCAGATATACGGTAGGGTAGAGTGGGAAGGGTGACAGTGCAGGTCAGAGGGACCAGCTTTGTGACATTGGGCAACTAATTTTACTTCTCTAAATGTCAAATTTTCAGCTTTTAATTTTGCCCAAAGGGATGGTACTCTTTGGGGAGGGTCCCAGGAGTACAAAGTAGAGGGTATAGGTAGATGATATTGGGTGTTTGGTATAGCAGTTCAGTTGCCACGTTGGGTGTCCTGGCTCTGCTTCCAATCCAGCTTCCTGCTAATGTGAACCCTGGAAAGCATCAGATGATGGCTCAAGTGCTTGGCCTGGATGGAGCTTGGATTTTTCTTTTCTCTCCTCACTACCCCTACCTTTCAAATGAAAATGAATTTTTTTAAAACAGAAGAAACGTTGGTGGCATCCTCCATCATCCAGGTGACAGACTCATGCATGGCAAGGCTCCAAGCCTTACCCAGCTTTAGAATACGGTTGTAAAGGGAGGCACTTTTCTTACAACACTTCCCAAAACAGAGAAAGTGATCAGCTCTAATAACCAGATAATCAATCCTTTGCAATTCAGGTGGTTTTTTTATTTTTTTGCTTTCAGAATATTTAGGGAACTGAGAGTGGCTAGCTGATGCCTGAAAATAATATTTAATGAGAGATTACTATGATATATTGGACATGTAATACAGAAATTCAAAGAATTTGTTATAACAAAATTCTATCTGTGAGAACAGTATTTCTTAATAATTACATCTATAAAACTCAAAATAGGAATAGAATTGAAATTAAATCCCATTTCTAACAATAGCATTCATTAATTTATTTTAAAGACATTATCCAATAAAAGCTTGCTATATATAACTACCAAAATGTATAATTTATTTTGTCAATGTTTATTACTAATAATTAGCCTAATAAAACTTTCAAGGAATTTTAATAAAAGACTTTCATTTTAAAATATATTAAATAATATATATATATATATAAAGGAAAGGGAATAACTCAGTGAGAAAAAGGAATGATGTAAAACTATGGTCAGTTTTTTATGTACTGAATCTCTCATAACCATTATTTGTAATCTATTGGGAACCTTGAGTTTTACTTTGAAATCTCAACATTTAAAATACAATGGCAGGGCCAGTGCTGTGACATAGTGGGTAAAGCCACTGCCTGCAGTGCCGGCATCCCATATGGGCACTAATTCAAGTCCTGGCTGCTGCACTTCTGATCCAGCTGTCAGCTATAGCCTGGGAAAGCAGTAGAAGATGGCCCAAGTGTCTGAAGCCCTGCACCCACTTGGAGACCTGGAAGACATTCCTGGCTTCGGATCAGCCCAGCTCCAGTTGTTGCAGCCATTTGGGGAGTGAACCAGCAAATACAAGACTTTTTCTCTCTCTTTCTCTCTCTTTTCTCTCTTTCTCTCTCTCCGTTTCTCTCTCTCTCTCTCCCTTTCTCTCTCTCTCTTTCTCTCTCTCTCTGTAACTCTGACTTTCAAATAAATACATATTTTTAAAAATACAATGGAGGCTGGCGCCGTGGCTCACTAGGCTAATCCTCCACCTGCGGTGCCGGCGCCCGGGTTCTAGTCCCGGTTGGGGCGCCGGATTCTGTCCCCATTGCTCTTCTTGTCCAGCTCTCTGCTGTGGCTCAGGAAGACAGTGGAGGATAGCCCAAGTGCTTGGGCCCTGCACCCACTTGAGAGACCAGGAGGAAGCATGCGGCCATTTGGGGGGTGAACCAACGGAAGGAAGACCTTTCTCTCTCTCTCTGTCTCTCTCACTGTCTAACTCTGCCTGTCAAAAAAAAAAAAAAAAATACAATGGCAATTACATCTTTCAAAGCTGATAGAACATTTTAGGTGTCAAATTTGAAAATAAACAAAAAGATTTATTTATTTGAAAGTTGGAGTTAAAGAGAGAGAAGGAGAGATCTTCCATCCACTGGTCCACTCCTCAAATGGCCACAACAGCTAGGGCTGGGCCAGGCCAAAGCCTGGAGCCAGGAGCTTCATCCAGGTCTTTGATGGGGGTAGCAGGGGCCTAAGCACTTGGACCATATTCTGCTGATTTTCTCAGGCCATTAGCAGAGAGATGGATCAGAAGTGGAGCAGCTGGGACACAAACTGGTGCCCATATGGGATGCCAGCAGTGCAGGCTGCAGTTTTACCCACCGTGCCACAACACTGGCCTCCAGACCCAGATGTCAACTTTTAAATGTATCAACAGATACACAGCTGTTGAAGCTCTGGAAGATGAGAAGATGAGCAAAGACATTCAGACAACTGCTTTAGACAGCAGCTAGTCACAAGCCCTTCATGTTACAAGTATTGCCACAAAGGACCAAAATCCAAGACACATTCAATCATTGGCTCTGCAACTCCACTCCATCCCCCATGCCGGAGATGGTAGCATAGGGCTCTGTCATCTCCATGAAATGTATTTGGGTTTAGAGCCGCTGTCTAGTATCCCTGGTAGCAGACACTGCCAATCTCACCCCAGTAGGAGTCCTTGCTAAAGCAACTATTCAGGAGTAGACTTTCTTTATACATCTATATCAACAAGTTAGATTGGAATCTAACTAACTATTGAGCTTGCTAACAAGCTGGAAGCACCTTGGGGGAAGTAGATACTCACCATCTTGGTCAGCTGCCACAGGGCAATACCATCAACTGATTGGCTAAAACAACAGAAATCTACTTTCACAGTTCTTGAGGCTAGAAGCCCAAGACCAGGGTGCCAACACAGTCAGGTTCTGGTCAGGGCTCTCTTCCTTGCTTGCAGATGCCTGCCTATGTGCTGTGTGCTCATGTGGCCTCCATGTGACTTTTCCTCAGTGCAAGAGAACATATTGAAAGTGAGCCCCAGGCCGGCGCCGCAGCTCACTAGGCTAATCCTCCGCCTTGCGGCTCCGGCACACCGAGTTCTAGTCCCGGTCGGGGCACCGGATTCTGTCCTGGTTGCCCCTCTTCCAGGCCAGCTCTCTGCTGTGGCCAGGGAGTGCAGTGGAGGATGGCCCAAGTCCTTGGGCCCTGCACCCCATGGGAGACCAGGATAAGTACCTGGCTCCTATCATTGGACCAGCGCAGTGCGCCAGCCGCGGCAGCCATTGTTGGGTGAACCAACGGCAAAGGAAGACCTTTCTCTCTGTCTCTCTCACTGTCCACTCTGTCTGTCAAAAAAAAAAAAAAAAAAAAGTGAGCCCCAGTCTCTCTTCCTCTTCTTATAAAAACAATAATCCTAATGGATCAAGCCGTACTCTTATGACCTCATTCAACCTTAATTAAGTCCCATGGAAGCCTCCTTTTGAAATACAGTCACACTGAGGGGCCGGGGTGGGGGAGGTAAGGATTTAACATATGAATTTGGAAGGGACACAAATACTGAGTCCATAACTTTAATTAATCTTTATTTAGGCCTTGTTCCTAACCCAATGGATGGTACACAGTGTTCCTTAATAAATTTTTTGCTGAATTATTATTATTAATCCCTGTGTATTGTAATGGGCACACAGTGTAGCGGGAAAGCTGTGTGACCTTGGGCTAGTCATTTAACCTCTTTAAGTCTCAATTTCTTCAGATATAAAATCTGGATGATAAATCCTATTTTATAGGTATGTTGTCAGCATTAAAATGTGTGATGAGTTGAAGATAATTTGCCTTCCCAATTCATGCAGAGTCTTGTGTTAATGGAGCATACATTGTAGAAACTTAATCCAAATAAACTGTCTGATGGTGGGAACTTTGGAAAGGTTGCTAGGGTGCAGCCCCTAATGAAGCGCGGTGGCTTC